TTGTTGCGGTTTTTTTGTGTGAGAGATCTTGGGAAAAGGTCACGAATGTGAACTCCAGGCATCACCTGAAATGAAAAAAAAATGTAAAGCAACCAACCACAGCGACTGCTCCGATAGAGGAAAGTTCAACTGAACCAAACTTCCCCCCACCAAAAAAAAACCTTCTGCACTCATCCCCCTTTCATCCTCTTAGGCTGACTCACCAAGTACAATCTCACTCATAACAGCCGGTCAACGAACAAAGGGAGTCGATACCAAGGCTTGAATCTGTTGGCAAAATATCACCGCTCTTGCTCAGTCATATGAAGTGGATGTGGAAATGTACCCGTTTTTTTCCCATTTCTACAAGCGCATGGGTTACAGTAAAACAAAATCAACTGAAATTAAGTGAAAATTTAGACAAGCAGTTATTCAGCATCATAGTCAACCACACTCTATCCACTGCTAGATGAAGGTCTCCTCAAGTCATCGTCATTTTGCATCGATCGTCGATGTAACAATCGACCGAGCGAGCACCTGTTTGTAAGCTGATATCATATTCCATTTGCCCACTGGATGTCCTCTCAGACAATGCTCTATCGCTTTCACATTTTAAAACCTCTTTAATTGACGGACAGGAATGACTGACAGAAAGCAGTGGTAATGTGTTGGGTGGTCTGCGCGATAGATATTTAATAGGCGTGTAGGCAACCGTCAATTAATGCATTTCTGAAAAAAAACTAATTTTATTCCCACGATTCATGCATCTAATCTGTGGATGTGGGAATACGTCGCATTTTTATTCATATGCGTTCTACGTAATATGCAGCCAGTTCTGGGCTAGTTCTGGGCTGGCCGAGATTGGGTCCCACTGGTCGTTGATATGGAGCAATGCACAATATGTCAAACAAATACAAGTGTGCATTCGAGAGGTGGGGTGTCGGAACGGTGACGCAGTGGTGTAAGCACTGCGCTGTGGACCCGGTGACCTCTGTGTGATTACTAGCCACAGCTAACATCGTGGGGGGTTGAAAATGCATCGGGCCCACTGCCACAGACTCAGCCCCCTCCTTCATTTATTTTTATTTGACGTTTTTTTTCATTTATTCCAATGTTATCCCGATTGCGCTATTGGCATCATGGCCTCCAACAAAGTAGAAATTTTCGGTTCGGATCTCTTGCAGAGCAGTACAACCCTTCGTGTTAGAGAACGGCCCACAGAAGCAGATATCACAGAACTACCTCGGAGATCCCTTGCAGTGATCACTGTCCTGCACAGTAGATGGCGACATTTTCCCACCCGCTCCGCAAATGAGAGTACTGTACTATTATTCCTCGCGTTCCAATCTAAATTCCCCATGAGTTTACCCCCCCCCCTCTCCCCGTTTAAACTAAACTACTGAAAACGACACTATTGTATTTTTTAAATCCTTTATATTAAGTTCACTTGCTTGCTTGCTTGCGCGCTTACGACCGTGCAAATCTTTTGGTCGTTTTTTAACCCACTTCCCGTGATCCAATCGAGCTGACATTTTGCACACAGACTCGTTGTGCGTGACAATTAATTTGCGTGAAAATTTTTTTCGAAAATTTTCCACTTTTTATGGATTTTTTTTTCATATTTAATTTAAAATACCAATGTGATAAAAATGAAACTCTTACTCAAGAAAAACTGAAATGAATAATAACATCAAACCGATGCCATGCATATAAAGGATTTATACTGAAAAACTTTGTTTTTACGGGTTAATTTTTTATTTTACCAGGTAAGGCCTACTGAGCTGTATAGCTCTTTTTCAGAAGCCACCTGGCCACAAATGATAGCTCAACGAAGCGGCTTTTCACGTGGAAATTCCGAGCAGACAAATACTCTAAACGCATGTTTCTAAGTGTGGAGGGGAAAACTGGAGGACCCCGAGAAAAATCCACATCATCACGGGGAGAACATGCAAACTCCAATTATACAGCAGGCATCAGACTCGGAATCAAACCCACGACCTCATGTGTATCAGACGAGTTATTAAACATCGTGCCACCATGGAGCCCTAAACATGGTCACGCTACAGGGTTGTGGAGAAGTATGGTCAAACAACTCCCATGATTGTTACAGTGTGGAGAAGCCTTCGTTCAGCAGTGGATTGACAATGAGTTGTAGATTGCTTTGTTTTTTTCGTGAAAGGAAAATCAAAGTTTACCGTGAAAAATGGGTTGGATGACGAGGTCATTTCACAAAAAAGAGGCCACTGTTAAACTAGCAATGTTTTTGGCTTTGATTAAGTAGCACGTGTAACACGGCAGGGCATGTAACATCACATTATTAAAAGCAAAACATGGCTTCCGTTTTTGATGAACACGGTACCACGACACAGCAAATCGTTTCATATTCTATCACTTTCACATCATTACGGGCTACCGTCGTCACGAGCCATTGGAAGGATTGGGCTTGTCAGGAGCCACATTGGCTTTAGCGAGCGGCGGCGGCGAAGTTGCAAAGAACATTCCGGTGAAGGATGGCAATGGAAGGGCGTTATGTCATTGTCTCCCCTGCCCGAAGTGAATCAGGGGCCTTGCGCTCGCGAAAGCGTCGAGATCATTACCGTGCCGGCTTGCGGTGCAAATGCTGTTTTCTGAATGCAATTCATCTCGCGACAACGCGACCTGTTTAGCTTTGCAGGGCTGACCTTTTTTGCTGTGCAATTGAAACCAACGGATCAATTTGTCTCTTTAGCCGGGAAAAGGGAGGCCGGAGAGGGAGAGAGAGAGAGAGAGAAAAAAAATTAGCACCGTTTGTTTCCAGTGCAGATTTAATTCAGTGTATAACAGCAGCAGATGGAGCCCTTTTTGTGTAACATAAAAAAAATGAATGAAGCTGTATTGCACCAGCATTGCGAATATAAAATTAAATTGCGGTTGATGATAATCAGTCAGCGGTCCTTGCCAGATTGAAAAGACTCTGCATGGATGATGGGCTGGAGTGGCATCAGTACGCACACTTTTATCTCTTCCCGCCTCGCAAAAAATGTGTCTATTATTGCTAACCGATGATGGAGGGCAAAAGGGCAATGCGTGGTCCTGTGGTGGAACGTAATTAGATGCTGTGTTTCTTGTAATTCGCCCGCCACCCTCCTGGTCCCATTGTCACTTAGACGCTGCGGGCAAAAGATGCTGTGACCGAAATTGAGTTGTCATTGTGGCACCCTGACCGTGGCTTGTCGGACCCCCTGCCGTGAGGTGCCACAATCACTGTAAATCGTTGTGCAGGGGGGGGGGGGGGGGTGTGGAGTTGGATGAATATGTGTAATTTCTCAATTCAACCGTACGCTAGCGCATTGACAAACACGTGCACCAAAAGACAAAACCCTGTCGCACGCGGGCGAGCGAGCGTGCTGTTATGATTGTGGATCGTAACATTCCATTCTCGTTTTTTTTTCTTTACGGTCGACTGTCCTCTCGGATTATTGACAAATGTCAGACGAAGTGGCAGAACAAATGTGGCTGCGAGTTGCGATGAGACGGTGGTGACGGCGCGGGGGGGGGGGGGTCCCTTCTCTATTGTCTGTAAAAAAAAAGGTGATCGTTTTTGGTTGCGGCATGAGGCTCCTCCAAAATTCGAAAAGGGAAATTCGTGCAACGTGCATCGAATGTTATTCATGCTTTTGTGGTGCTGTTTACGGGCGTCGCGAACCGAGCACGAATGCAATCTGTTACCGGTGGACGTGTACTCATTTGAAGGTGCCGTGTGGACTTTTAATCACAGCAATAATCCGGATTGATTATATATATACGTACACAATGGTCGTGGATACATTTTAAATGGCTGCTCATACGAGCATAGTTAACGCCTAACAACTTGTTATAAAATAATTTACAGTCATTGCTTCAGCACATAAACCTTTAATTTCCTAACGATTTCCTGTGCAAAATGTAACGACAATGACTAATTAATGTTAACAAATGCAACGCTGTAAAACAGCCACCGGATGCAGTCAATTATGTAAGCGGTTGTATGTTTACCACACTGCTCTATACCCATGGGTCATCATGCAGGCATTCTGCACAGGCTGGTTTGTTAGAACAGTGGTGGTGTCCATGGGGATCTGAAAGGGGAATAGGGTTATGTACCCTTCATCATTTACTCGGGTACCCCTTCAGGTCTCCAGTGTATTCATCGCGCAGGCACGGCTGGTATTTGGGACCGTAATTGATTTAGCACCATTCCACCCACACCAACCCTGTAGCTCCATTTTCCAAGCAAATGGAGAATCTTTGTATGCCCCCCCCCCCCAACTCCTGCTTAATGTAGCTTGGTTCTCCGCTGTGCTGGAAAAGGCCGTGGCCACGTTTGTAGCCCGGAGCTTGCGTGCACGTGCAGAGGTTTGCATTTGCACACGGGCACAAGAATTGCCCACGGTCAAGAACACCCACCATCTGCCTACCGATCTGTGTCCTGCTTAGATTAATGGAAGCATAGCAAGCAATGTTGCATGGGCAACAGGAGGTCACCCGTTTGTCCAAATGACGTGCGATTTTCTGTCTGAGTGTGTTAGTGGGGGTTGGGGAGCGGTGGTGCAGCAGTTAGCGCGCTGTGCTCCGAACCAGGTCGGACCCGGGTTCGATTCCCGCTCGCGGCCAACATCGGTGACGAATATCTGATCTGGTCTTTGGTCTCCCCTAGGTAAACTCGGCCTCAAATGAGTACGTTGTGCGGTGTGTAAACATCGCCACTGGGGAGACAAAGGCGGCCGGGCGTGGTGCTGGTCACCCAACCCCTCATTGTACCGTTCCGGCCTTCATAGGTGCTCGCTAACAGCACTTGACCCAATAGTCTGTTAAGGCTACATGGGGGATCTTTGTGTAAGTGGGGTTTGTTTTTGCATTTCAGACCAACGTGTCCAGTTTGGTTGCATGGTAAATGTTTGTGTGTCGCAAAAATGTATACAAACATTTGCTTCCACACAAATTATATACAGTATTTGTTTTATAACATTGCTGTTTTTAGCTGCCATTATCTCGAACAAAAGACTACTTGATACAATAAACAAAATGTGTGATTAATTAATATTTGTAAAACCGTCGTTCTCAAGCGGTTAATTCGAATATTTGCTTAAAAATTGAAGCACATTGTATATCTTTTCAGTATAATGCTATATTTTAAAACGTAAATAGTATGTTCTGCCACGTCTTGTGTTCTGCAATAAACAAGTGAGAGATAGACCTCAGGTTAGAGCGACTGCTGATGACGGGGTTAATGTTATTTAATAAAGAGAAAATTAAATTACAAATGTTGTCATTAGCCAATTAGCCATTAGCTATGATAAATCAGAGAGCAAATTGAAATCTCTCTGGTGTAGTCAGTCACCTCGCCCCTGGCATTTTTTTGAACACAGTCCAGTGGTTGTAGAGGAGTGGCCGAGGCACAGCGGGGTGAGTGAGCCCCACCGGTTTCCGAGGCTCCATTTGTGCAGCTGGGCTCGGTCTCTGTAATTTCCACGCGTTTCGGGAGAGGGTTTGAAGGAGGATTAGCAACGGATTAGGCTATCTCGAGACCACCGCGGTCATATCCTGAGCATATTTGGTAGGTTAGGAAGGGGGGGGGGGGCAGTGAGAGGGCAGTGAAGAGGAGAAGTTGCATTTTAGGTGATGGGAGGTCTGCGGTCACAACGATATCGTTGTGACCGCAGACCGGCCAAAAAAACCCATGAGGGGTGGGCAGCTGTGGAGAGCTTGGGAAAAATACAAGCAACGTTGTTTGACTTTCATATCGTGCAACAGAGTTCACGCTCAACGATTTTTAAATTTACTCTGTTACATCGAGGAATTTTAGCCCAGTGACTCGGGGGAAATATACTGATATACCTGAATGTTCACGCAGCCCTCGGAGAGTGGTGCCTTTGATTTGTATTTGCTGCTGCCAAAATGCAGGCGCATGAAATTTTAAAGAGGGCATGGGAGTAGCGGGAAGAGAGTGGAGGTTTGCAGTATTTGTACTGCGTTGACAGGCACATACGTTACAACAAAATTAAGTGCTGTATTTAAATGAATAATACAAAGTCAAACTTTCAAGCCCAATATAGACTTCATATGTCAACTGAAAGACTCAAAACATAAGAAACGTATGAAAACGATGCCTGCCATCTCTCTCACGAATGCTTTCATTTAGTGCGTATGGAACAAGTTGTTGGAGCTTCATTGAGAAAACATATAGATTAATAAAAACATTGGCGAATAATGAAAAAAAAGAAAAGGCCTGCTGGCTGGAACACAGTGTATTTTTTTCCTTGCAGAAAATTTGTATTGCTTGTGTTTTTACCTCAATATATAATCCCGTCTGCCCCACATGAGCGTTTGTTGGACTTACCCTACCCATGCTAGCCAAGAGGGTATAGTGAAATGTTAATGTTTACATGGGACACGATTGGTGTGACTTGTGAAGCCAGTGGCAAAACAATTACGCTGGCATGGCCATGCAGTCAGCCTGGCCTCCGGCCCCTTAAACAATTCCCTGGGTACCCACTGGAGTCTAATGGTGCGTGACTACACTGTATCCCTCTACAAGCATGTTCGTGCCACTGCGATCGACGTATGTGGCCATGAATGTACACAACAACAACCGCCATTCGCCACTAATTGGTGGTGACGTCATCACAACGCTTGTGCCAGGCTATGTGCACGTTGAGGCCACGTGAAGTGTCGAACGCCCGCTGGCACGAGGTCACGAGGCAGACCCAGATGCAAAGGGTCAATAGACCGAGATGACTAGCTGATGCACCACCTGTGCCTCTACTGTGCCAACTTGCTGTGCTTTAGCCACCCAGCACTCTGCTCGTTGTTGTGAGCGTCGCTCCTCCGCCCTCTGTTGTTGTTGGAGGGCGACTGCCTTCAACTGCCCAGTCGCGTCCTTCATGAGCCTCCTCCACAGAGGCCGATCTTCACACCGCTGGTACCAGTCATCGGCAAGTCCACTCAGCTCCACATCCTCCTGTACCACATCACTCCATCTCTCTCTAGCCCGTACCGTGCCCATTTAGCCCCCTCGATCCGGCCGAACAAAAGCTGTTTAAAGCATGCGGTGAGTGGGGATCCGGGCTACATGACCCAGCCAGCGCAGCCTTGCCTGCCGGAGGAGCTCACCGATGGGGCTTTGTCCAGATCTTTCAAGGATATGTGAGCTCACAAAATCCAGCCTGGTTAAACCCAGGATGGATCGTAGGCAGGTCAGCCTAAATGTTTCTAACCCGCAAAGATGTTGCATTAAGGGGGTCCACGTTTTTGCAAGCGTAGAGAAGGGAGGGAATGATTGTGGTCGAGAAGACCTGAAGCTTCGACAGACCAGGGAGCTCCCACATAGCGTTATGCAACTGATGAAACGATAATGCCGCTCGACTGATTCGGAGTGAGACCTCTGCTGTCAAACTGGAGCCGGTCATGAGCACACTGCCCAGGTAGAGATGCCCCTGTAGTTGTTATAGTCTGTGCGGTCCCCCTTCTTAAAGAGGGGTGCCACCAAGGCATCCTTCCAATCCTGCGGAACCCATCCAGTGGTCCAGACTGTTGTTATGATGTCATGTAGGGCAGCCTGTGCACAAACGCCACCCTGCCTCAGCATTTTGCTTGGGAAATCATCTCTGCCCGGTGCCTTTCCTGGTCTCAGACTCCGGATCGCCTTCAGTACTTCCTCAACAGATAGCACTTCAGCCAGCCACTCACAAGGGGTGACTTCTTCTTCCTATATTTGAGGCACCGCAACCTCAGCAGTGTCATCCCCACTTTGCCCCACGATGTTTTCCAGGATGAGGGATTTCCCCTCCCTCAGGACCTCACAGAAATACTCAGCAAATCTGCTGACCTGTTCCTGGGGGTCGGAGATTTGATCACCATTCTTCCCCTAATGATGGTAATAGGTATGGCGCTTCAGGTTACTTTTTTATGGAGTTAAAGAGCGATCTGTGATCGCGGGCCATTGAGGCAGACTCCATCTCCTCAGCAACCCGCGACCACCAACCATCCTTGCAGCACCTCACAGCTCTCCGAACCTCCGAGGGACAGCTGCGGTAAGCCTCCTCATTCTCCGACGTGAGATGTTGTAGCCGATGAGAGTGGGCCTGTCGCTTTTTCTCAGCCAGCCTGAACACCTCCTCTGTCAGCCAGGGTCTCTGGGGAGGTCTGGACCGTGTACCCAAGGCAGCCATTGCAGCTGCATGGGCCACAGTCCTAAATCTCGCCCATTTCCCCTCGACATCAGGAGTGGGGGACGATGCCAACCCCAGCCGCAAGCGATGATGAAATTCTCACCTGCAACTTTCATCAACTAGCTGAGACCATGCCACTATAGGTATGAATGGGGTCCTGGGTGTACACTCACCACCGGAATGTAAGAATGGCAGGTGCATCTTACAGATGACAAGTAAATGGTCAGTGGGCAGATCAGCTCCACGGTAGGTACTGGTGTCAAGGACATGGGCCCGCATCTGCTTTTCCATCACTATGTAGTCCAGCAGATGTTCTTGATTGAACCCGGCATGCATCCATGATGTTGTGTGGATGTGCCGATGCCGGAACAGCATGTTGGTAATTACAAGCCCATGGGCTGTACACAAATCTAGCAACCTCCTACCGTTGTTATTGAGTTTATCTGGCCCATGCCTTCCAATCACTCCAGACCAGGTGCTAGCATCATGACCAACTCGGGCATTGAAGTCACCCAACAAGATTACTCTATCCCGTGGGGCCACTTTAGCTAGCACCTGTGACAGGTTATAGAAGGCATCTGACTCATTGGCCTTGCCTGCATCCCTCCACGGATGTTCGTTTTCAGTGGGGGCATAAGTAACCACGACCACCACTCCTCGCCTGTGGTTGATGGGAAGGCAAGCCCAAAGTAGCCTGGGGCTTACAGCTTCCCACACCTCACCGCCATGCTCCCACATCCCCTTCATTCTTTTGTTCAGAAGAAGAGCCACTCCCTGTTGTTTGGTAGTCTCCTGCCCCGAGTAGAGGACTGTCCACCCCTCATGGTGGACAGGAGTCAGAGCCGGTCTGGTGGACTGGATCTGTCCACCCCTCAGACCGGCTCTGACTCCTGCCACCATGAGGGGTGGACATGTACAAACGTGCACACGCGTGCGTGTGTGTGCGTTCACACGTGGGGAGCGATGGCGTAACGGTTGGTGCGCCACGCTATGAACACAAGTGACCTGGGTTTGAAGTCCTGGTCATGGCCAACATCAGTGGCGAGAGATATCTGAATACACCTTGGGCCCCCCCATTTGTCGATGCGGCCTTATATGAGCACCTGGTGTGGTGTGTGCACATCACCACTGGGGAAACAAAGACGTCCGCGCACAGTGCTGACTACACCACCCTCCTAGTGCACTTTGTTGCCCTTTATAAGTGTTTGATAACAGCATTTGACCTGACACCTTAATAGGCTACTTGGGGGTATCTTTGTGTTTTGTGTGTGTGTGTGGCTCTCTCTCTGCATGCATATGCTTCATTTTTTCCACATCACATTTGCACCTTTAACTAGCGCACGATGGTACGGTGGTTGCAATTGCATATGCAACGTTAAAAATATTCAAGTTTGACCTTTTTTTTGGCCTTCAGCTCAGCTTGATGACTAAATTTGCGTGTCTTATTTAAAATTCAACAATATTTTTTTTTGCCTTACGGTCCCCTTAAAAAGTCACAGCTGTAAACATTGTTTTTTGTTCAGCTGACTCAAACTCGACAGTTTTGTTTGCTATCCGTTATTGTTTCGAATTTGAGAGAACGACCAACGTTGATTTCTCTGACACGTCATGTCCCGCATTCTCGCACGCGGGTGTGCCGCAACGTTTATTGAAACGCGACTCTCGCCAGAATTATTTCACCTTTGAGAGACCCCAACCTCGTCTCCCCGGTGTTGTATTCAAATTCACTGTCGGCGACCTCGTGGGAGGCTTTTTTTCAGCAACACTAGTAACGCATCTTTTTGTTGTTGCAAAGTTGATCTTGAGCAATCGGCGATGGCTGCCCTGCCCATGGCCACCTCATGCGCAGCCCATTCTCTTTGTATCTCGAAATGCTAAGCAGGCTTGAGCCCGAATCAGCGCCTGGATGGGTGGCCACCATTGAGCAGTGGGTGGAATGGGACGGTCAAGGGCGTTGCAGCAAAAATGTCCGTTAGGTTCTGAAGCCCCTCTCGTAGGTGGTGGTGCAGTATGGCCAAAATAACTCACACGACCCCGCAAGGCGTGTGATGGTCGCTGTTTGTAGCAGATAATTGGCCCAAAACGGGGCGTAAAAGTGCACGTGCGATGGCATTCAGAAGGGGCGGGCTGTCAATTACTTTGGGTAAAATCACAATTCTTAACATTACGCAACACATTTGAAGTAAAATACTGTTCCTGGCATTGTAAAGGCATTGCCTCACTTCCACTGCAAAAAAAACCAATATTGTATTTTCCGACATTTTTTACTTGTTTTTAAGTAATTCATTG